CTGCGACGTACCCATGTCACAGCGACACATTCAAGTGCTAGGACGTGTCATAGATCTCAATCTTCTTATTACTCAGCACGTCAATGGCAAGTTTTACAAAGATATCGAATATTGCATTAAAAAATTTGAGGCATCGGAGCTGTCGAGTGTTGTTGACTTCAACCGTGCATTGCAGATCGTCCAGGAAACCCATCTTTCTCTCGTCTATCACCTTGAGCTTGACACTTTCGAGACAATCCTCACTGAAGTTGACGAGGCTGTTGGTCCGACTGCGTTTGCAGGGCGGACACTGATGCACGTACTTGCATCCTTGGTCACTGATATCTTCCCAAATTATGCATATAACAATTTTACACGTCGCTTCGTGCGTTCACCGGTGGCGCTTAAGCCTGTTGATCGTCCAAAGTCACCAAAGGCAGATCATCAGCACTTTGCCGTTGGTGCTTACACAGCCCGCGCGTTTGAAATGGCAAACAAGCTGCATCGCAGCTTCGTAGGCAGCACCCATACTGCTGCTATTGTGAGAATTCTTGGAACTAGTGGCGTGCCTCTATTAGTCAATAACTTGCTCACCAATCTTCAGGAAAGGCTCGAAATATCGAAGGCTTATTTGGATGCAATCACGAAGGGGCTCCCCCCTTGCAAGCTCCCAAAAGCCATGTATGGCCTGGCTGGTTGTTATGGTGTATTCGATGCCCTTTTGAAGCCGATACTTGCTTACGTGGACCTTAAGCCTGAAGTTTTTCAAGCATTCAAGGAGGTTGGTAATGCGCTTTTCTTCATCAGGGACATGTCCGATGTGCTCGATTGTATTGATCTTGCCCGCGGTCTGCACCAGTTCTCCTGGATTCCGCTCGCCGACAGCTACAAGCCTGTCCCTGCGCTCTCTCATCTTGCTATTGAATGTCATAGCTTGACTTGCGCGATGCCAGAAGAACAAATGCGTTGTGTAATCCCCCGAGGCGCTGTCCCCGAGCTCGCTGTGATTGCAGAGAGAATACAGGGAGATATGCTCTCTGAAGCTGATCAACGCATCACACTATTTTGGGGGGCGCTGACTCACCTCTCTTTACTTATCCAGCCATTTCGTCCAGGATGGACAGAGCTCCTGCCAAGTAATGGCGTCCTCGATTTAGAAGCGACCGGCTCGTTTCATAGGCTCTGGTCCGCGCTCGGCTTTCTCTTCGGCATACAGAGTTCACGATATGCTGCCACTCATACCCAATCCTACTCTGCTGACTCATACCAGACTGCGTCCAAGGACCACCCAGCTCAAAACACGCTGACAGCTGCAATTTCTGACGAATACCAGTTCGGCCATGGATTTTTCATGGCCGGTGCTGCTTTAATTCAGCTCCTAGGGCAAAGGGCCCAGTTCTGTGCACTCGACTTTTCTACCCACGTCCTGCGTGTGGAAGCGTATGAAAGTGCTGCAGCCGCGCGCGCTGAAGGAGTAGGTCTTGCTGATGTCACATTGCGAGAAGAGGCTAGTAGTTTCGTTTTGCTAAAAGCGAGGCACTCACAATTGTATACTATTGCATTTTGCATACTAGATGCACATACACAATCTCAACAGCACCGATCGACCGAACCAATCTTTCACCCTCCTGGCAGCTATGACAAGTAATTTGTATCTCACGTACCAGCATGCCCGCCAAACGGACAGTCCATCTGAATTGAACGGACAGTCCCGATTCAGACTTTAATCTGCCCAGTTCCAAATAGTAGATGACCAGTGGATCCTGTGTTGGATGCTATGGGATTTGTAGGCTGAGTTTGTTCTTCTGCACGTTTGGGCCGCAACTCCACACTATCAGCACAGCTCCACTGGCCGCTCCACTCGTGTCCGAGGCTGAGCCCCTGTTTCCTACTGTCGAGTGAACCCAAATTCAGGGTTCAATGGCACACAACATACGAAAATCCTAGGCGGCTTTTCCTTCACAATACAAGGGCGTATGCCATTTGCAGACGCCGGGGCCTGAACGGGCCTAGTTGGGGCGAACGCGGGAATTCGACGCGTTCTAGTTTAGACCCCGCCCGGCCCCCCGGCGCCTGAGTAAAGCCCGCTAGTAAAGCCTTCAGCCACCTACCAAAAATTGTCGGGGGCGTTTCCGAACGCGGGAAATTCGACGCTTTCTAGTTCGGACTGGGCACGGGAAACCCAAGCTTGCGACTTGACCCCCTCCTTGGTCGCCCTTAAGTACGCCACGCTGGACACGGGAAACCCAACGAAGCTGAGTTTGCGGCTTGCCCCTCTCCCTAGCCGCCCTTAAGCGCCCCGCGCCTGGCACCACCTCTGTCCAGGGAGCCCGTAGGGCCCGTGGGGCGGCGGCGGGTGCGAAGCGGGGTCGGGTGAGCCCGCGGGAAACTCGACGCGTTCTATCTAGTTTGGGCCCCGCCCGCCCCCCCAGCGCCTGAGTAAAGCCCCCGGCCGCCGACCCAAAATTGTCGGGGGTGTTTCGGGTCCCTTGAGGTCCCTGCAAAGAATATAGACTGACCTTGATGTCTGTCTCTCTCTCTCTATCTCTATATCTCCATGACTATACTGTAGTACAGTACGCTACACTACCACTACCCTACTACCATCATGCTAGTACTGTACCTACCCTAGTTAGGCCTTCCTTCCCGTTCCCCTTCTTTATAATCAGTTACTATCCTATGACTGAGCTACCGTAAGGTAGCACACTGAGCTTCCCCTCTCACCCACTGTGCTTATCCTGCTACTACGGACTGTACCTTAACGTCAAGTTGATGTACGGGACTTAGATTCTTTACAGGTTATGGCGCGGGTGCGTCGTTAGACGTACCCTTCCCACTTGTGCGAGAGACTGCTCTTGTTTGTGTGTGTGCCAAGAGGTGCTTGTCACACCTGTCCTTAATTGTGAGCCTGGTGCACATTCACACATAAAAATTACCGTCAGCTATGGCTGACGCTGAAGAACAACTCGATAACATATACGAGACGCTAAAGGACGATAAGACTCGAACGAAGTCGTTTGTCGACTCACAGCTCAACACTTTCCTTGATGGACACAGGTTTCAGGTTAATCTGTCGATCTCAAGTCTCCGATCAGAATCAACATGGCTAAAGACCATATGTTGGTAAATAAGGTTGGCCTGGCACTCAGATACATTAATGATCCTACTGATGCACGGACTCTCGTGTGCTATGGGCTAGGAATGGTTCAAAAGCTACACGATTCTACTCTTGAGATTTGCAGTATGCGCACGGTCAAGAACCTTGGCTTAGGATTTCAAATGCCCCCGGGTGCCTCCTCGGTAGACACCCTTTACAATGATCATGTTAAGTTACCAGTTGACTGTACTCCTTCCAGGACACTCCAGCATCTGTGCTTGTGGGTTGAAGAGCAATGTGGATGATAAAGCGGCGAATATCGCCCTTAGAATGTGAGTTGGTTATCGCTGGATGCTTTGTATACAAGGCCTGCATTCCGGGTTGCCTTTAGGTGTCTGAGCATACTTTGAACATGCTTCCAATGTTGTTTCCTGGGTCTGATTAGGTGTTGTGAGGCTAATGAAACAAATTTGCATATTGTAGGTCTTGTCTGGCTATGCTCAGTCTGCCTTATACTGGCTATGCTCATGCTATACTATGCTGGTGCTTCATACTAGCATACTCGGATTCTAACAGTGGACCCCTCCTGAAATATCCGCGCCAATGAAGCAGAGTTTATTTTCGGTCATTTCCGCGCGTCACGCGCGCCGCGTAGTACGCGGGACGCCACGGCTTGAAGAGCCTCTCGGTTGCCGGAAAACCGGCCCGGCGGCAAACTCGCCGGCCGCAAATCACCGGCAAAGTAAAACTCGAAACCTGCCCCTTGACCGTCAAAATTTTTCAGTAAACCGCAACCTAGCCACGCACGTAGCCCGTGCGCGTTTGGCGCGCGTGTGCGGCGCACGACAGCGCTCGACGCCGTGCGCCCGGCCTCGGCGGTCGCCCACCGCTGTCGCCCATGGGCCCAGGCGGGCCCGGAGACACGAGGCCGCGCGCGGCGGGAGACTTAACAGGCCGCGCGGCCCCGTAGAGGAGCCCTGCGGAGGAGCCCCCATGGGGCCAGGTCCAGGCCAGGTCTAGCAGTCACCCGGCCCAACTAAGCGGCCCAACTAGGACGCGTCGAATTTCCTGCGGGCTCGGGCGGGGCCCAAACTGGAACGCGTCGAATTTCCCGCGGGCTGCCTGGACGTTGCTTTTTGTACTGCATAAGGAAGCCCGCTAAGGAAGCCTAGCGGGCCCGGGGAAGCCAGTACTTGACATCGTCAACAACCCCGCGGGATTCGCTGCGTCGGCCGGGATTCGATGGTTGGCCTAGATGTAGGTTGCAGATGTTGGTCGTTGAAATGTCAATTAAGCGTGTCAACTAGGGCCCACTTTGTAACTTTGCAGGCCCACTTATTTTCTCACCATGTCAGCAAACCGACCCGAGACCGACCCAGCCAAAGTCGCAAGCCGAAGCGGCCCCGAAGCGTCTGGGCTTCGCTGCCCCCTAGCGACGTCAGTACACTGGGAATGTAGGGTCAGCTTCACGGCGCCAGGCATCAAGGCCACCGGTGACATTCCGAACGTTTCGAAAGCCAAGCTTGATGAGAATTTGCGTTGCAAATCGCGAGTCGATGCCGCGGCGGCAAAGCACGAAGAGGTCGGGATTATGGCTGCTGCTCGCGTCACGTACTTTTGTCGTTGTGACAACTGGTTGCTCTAGGATTCCGCGCAAGGGGAGCGAGAGGGCACCGGGAAGCTTGCAGATCGTGAACTGGATGGAATCGCGGACATCAAGAATAACGCACGGCCTTGAGCTCTGAAGTGCAGCTTTGAGGTCGAGAGCCGTCGCTTCATTGTGCCTTGGTAGAGGGGCAAGAGGAGGGACGGGGAACGCACCAAAATGGCACCTGTAGCAGACACCCTGACAACGATGTTCTAAAATTAAACGCTGCTTAGACATTTGGTAGTTGGAATCAACACTGAGACCCTGATTCCGAGCCCATCGCTCAGAATCGGCGAGCGATATCAGACTCGGGTTATCACCGCAGAGGGCACAGTTTCGACGCCTCTGAGGTAACCCAAAAGGACGCAGGGAAAGCCCATCGAAGATTCGGAGTACAGAACTACCATTGTCTCCCATGTCAGCAAGACAGCGCAGAACATCTAGGGCCTGTAGTGCACCGAGCGCACCTATGCACAAGCTGCCTCATAACCGGCGCCGTATCGAATCGTAAACACCGCGCGTGCCAGGTATCGGGCCAAGGACTCCATGATCGGTGCATTTGCGGCGTGATTCGTGATGCGACGGGGTCGGACTCACACAGCGAAAGCACGGTCCATCTTCGTAATTCCAACGTGCGAGGGAACCCTCAGTCCCTAAGGCCGCCGCTACGACCAGAGTTTTCCCGCCAAGGAAGCATACGTCATTTAGGAGGTAGCGCGTTCCAACATTGTCACTACAGTCAGCGACAATGTCGTGTGATTCCACCAGCATTACCGTGCGCTCTCTGAAGCCGCAATGCTGGGCGACAGCTGAGATAAGGACATCCGAGTTTAACAATCTCAAGCGTTCAGCTGCGACCTCGGCCTTGTTCCTCCCGATGTCCAGCTCACAAAATAAAACCTGCCTGTGCAGGTTGCTCAGCTCCACCACATCACCATCGCACACTGTGATCTGCCCCACGCCCGCCCCAACCAGATATGGCAGACATCCACATCCCAAGGCCCCGGCTCCAACCACAAGCACCGATGAAGACTGTAACTTCGCCTAGATTATGAGTTAAACCACTTCACTGGAGGGATGTCACCTGGCTCGCTGCTCCATGTATCAAAAGCTGTCGAGAGTAACGGCTGGAACCCCCCTGAGGGATCATTCAGACGCAAGCATCTAATGGCGAGCCCGCGATTGCTACTACTAGTAGTAAACATGGGGGGTTTGCTCCGGCGACGGCGTCCGATGGCCGACGCGTCGGACGCCCTAACGTGCGGTTTTCGCTAGCGGCCAGGGACGCCCGGTGGCTATACGTGACAAAAACAAGCGCCCGGATTGGGACGAATGGCTAGCCGTTTCGCTGGCTTGAGTACCAGACACGTACGCGCGGGCCTGGAACGGAGACCTCTGAGCCCAAGCTTCCGACGCACGGCAGCCCGCTCTGGTGGTCGGAGTGGCCTTCCATGGCCCCTAGGCGTAAGCCTGACCGTCGGTGCCCCCATCGGAGGTGGTTCTGGCGTCGACCAAATTCCACCGCGCGGGCCTCGTCTCCGCGGGGCTGCCGCGGCGTACAGGTCCGTGCCAGCGAAGCGCGTCACCATCGATGGCGTTGGATACGCCCCTTGGTTTTGGGCGCGACGTGGGTGTGGCGGCTGGGGTAGGCCATTTACCTCGCGTAAGATGTACCACCCCGCTCCGCACGCAGGGGTGCCGCCGACGCCACTGGCGGTGCAAACGCCCCCCTAGTAAAAAACTGTTTTCTGCTGGTTTCCTGCAGCGAATGACGGTTTTGGCCGTCATTCGGCCGGCCCGAGCCGTCATTCCGTCCCCGAATGACGGTATGGGGCTGCGGCGCGAGTTTCGCCCGGTTTCGGCCGCCGCGCGGCCCGTCGCCCGCGCCGCGAAGTCGGTTTCCGGGGCGTCGACCCCCCCGGGCCGCCCCGGAGCGCTTCCGCCGGCGCGCATCGGCGCGGTGGTCGCCGCGGGCTGCCCCTCGCCCCGCGGCGGCATGGACGCGCCGCCCGACGACGACGACGACGACGTCGTCTGCCTGTCGCCGCCGCCGACGCGGTCCGCGGGCGCGCCCGAGGCGCTGGGCGAGCCCTGGACCGCCAGGTCTTCGACTGCGCGCGCGTGCGGCCCGTCGACGCCGCCGCCGTCGCGCCGCGCGGCCGCCGCGGGCAGCCCCGCGGAGCCGAGCGACGACGAGGTCTTCTGCCTAGCGCCCCCGCCGACGCGATCCGCGCGCACGCCCGAGGCGCCGGGCGAGCCCTCGAGCTCCAGGTTTTTCTCCGTCGCCGCCGCCGCCGCCGCGGCCGCGCGGCCGCCGCGGGCAGCCCCGCGGACACGAGCGACGACGAGCTCGTTTGCCTGTCGCCTCCGCCGTCCGCGACGCGGTCCGGGACCGCGGCATCGCTGCCGAGGTCGCCTGAGCCGCCCGCGCGCGTCCGGTCGCCGCCGCGCGACGCTCCGACCGCGTCGCGCGCCAGCCCCGCGGACACGGGCGATGACGAGCGACGACTACTTGTCGCCGCCCCGACCTGCGCGTCGAACGGCGGTGCGATTCCGTGGAGGTGCAGAGGTCGCTCACGTCGCCCGGCGTCGCGCGTGGGTCCGGTCGCGCCCTGCCGCGGGAAGGCTCGCCCGGCGAGCCATTGCCATCGCCTGGG